TCAAGACAACATGGCATTGGCAAAAGAACAGATATAAAGATCAGTGAGACAGAATAGAACATTTGGTATTAGACCCACACAAATTCAGTCACCTGATCTTTGACCAAAGCATAAGGGTAAATTAATGGTGCTAGAAATTTTCAGATAGATCTCAATTGAGCGATAGTCTAAAAAAGTTCTAACCGGTTTTCCTCCTAACGCTCAAGGTCATCAGAAACCATCTGAGAAATTGATAACCAAGAGAAGATTTAAGAGACATGGTGACTAAGTGTAATGTGTTATCCTGGATTAGACCCTAGGAAAAAAAAAAATAGAATTTAGGTTCAACTAAGGAACTCTGAATAAAAAATGGATTGTAGTTAATATATCAATATTGGTTCATAAATTGTAACAAATGAACTATACTATGTATGTTGATTATAGAGAAAACTGATGTGGTATATATGGAAGCTTTCATTTTCATAATTTTTCTGTAAATTTAAAGCTGTTCTAAAACATTTATGAAAATACCCTCTAATAATCAGCAAAAAATCAGTTAACATTTTGACATACATATATGATTTGTCTATACAAAAATATATTTTTTCACAAAATGTCTTTTCATATGTACTGCTTCATACTCATCTGTTTTTTCACATTTCAATATATTATAAATATCCTTAATTTCAATAATCATGGATATTATCATTTCATCATACTATTATACAATAATATTATTACACAATTGCCTCATTATATTTATCTCACTACTCCTTGACATTTCTGTTGTTCCCAATTATTTTCTAAATAACTCTGTAATTTATTCTACAAAACGTTTAGTCTGTCACAATTAACTCTCTAGGAGCATTTCCAGAAGCAAAATTTGTGGGTAAAAGTTTGGATTTTTTCATAATTAAATTATTCAAAAATTCATGTTCTCTTATATTTACTAGGAATTTTGCTATAATACTATTGACAAAATAAAAGATCTTTAAAATTTGTAAAATGTACAAAGAAGTATTTTAAGAACTAAACATGCAATACTTAGGTGAAAGTTATCAGACATAAAAATGCTAATTGTCACCCATACAGTGTATATTTAAGTAGCTTAAAGGAAGCACTCCAGTGATGCTCACACTATTAAATTAAAAAAAGAAAAAGAATTAAAACAAGGAAGTGAGGGAAGAGGGAGGGAAGGAGACTAGGGAGAAATGGAGAAAACACCATGAAAAATTCATTTGCAAGAGATTTTGGCCTATGATCTTATAAAACACTGAGATTCAACTGAACAAAAGAAAATCTAAACAGTTTAAGAAAATTACTGATTGTATTCTATTTAACATCCAGAAAATAGTTATGGCAATGTGTTAGCACGTCTTTCTTCTTGTCTTCACGGAGATAAATGAATAACCAAAAGGAAAATACCTATTGACTATTTATTTATGTCTCCAAAGTGTCTTTCTAGTACTCCATATAATATTTGTATTATGATTTAATTAATATATATATTCACTTATTCCCAGGATAGCCATATTTTAGATATGTGCATATTATAAAGACACAATTTTGCATAACTTGTATATGGGTCTATATGTGTGTGTATGAACACTAAGACGTTGGCTATGCAACAGTTCCATCTGTAGCTCCTCTTCTTTGCAGCATGTATTATTTGCTAGGTATATACATACACTGTACAAGGTGATTGATGTCATTAAGGAGGCAATGAGGCAGGTGCTTAAGAGCCAGTCTGTCTTGGTCCTTACCTTGGTTTCACCGCTCAGTAGTTGCACTACTTAACCCCTGTATTATCAAGGTACTTACTTAACTTTCCTGTGCTTCAGATGCATAACCTCTAAAATGGGGTCATTAATAATAACTACCTTGAAGGGAGTTGCTGTGAAGGCTTATAATTACATATTACATAGTATACAACATGAGATTGTGTTTAATGTAATATATATTTTTATATATAACATTATGTATTATATATAAGATATATGATTACATACACATATATAGACACATGTACATATCAGTAAAGTGCCTGGCAAATGGTAAGCACTCAATGTCTGTTTGTAGTTCTTATCAAATTTTCAAAAACATCCTGCAAGTATTGCTATCTCTGTTTTACAGAGGAGGGAGCCAAGCTTTGAGAATCTTTATGATTTTCCTAAGGTCTCACAGCTAGTAAAGGACTCAGGTTATGTCTGAAACCAAAGCCTATGGCCTTCCTCTGAAGTACCACATTTACTGTCAATAGTAACTAATGTGATTACAGCATAGGGATGCATTTCTTAGGTTTATTATTAGAAAAAAGAAAGGGACTCTCATCATAAATATTTTCACCAAGATAAAGATCAGTAAGGATTTGTTATAGCATTATTGACAGCTTAAGGATGTTTGCTTAAATAGTCAAAAGAAAAATAACACTGGAAAAATTCTGTACAAGTAATAGGCACCAGAGCCAGAAACCAGGAATTCTTCAACATACTGTACAGACAGATCTAAAATTAAGGGCATGATTAGCCAACATGAAATTACCATATTAATCAGAAAAGAAAAGCCCCCTATACATGAGAGAGGGAGCAAACTGACTTGATCACATTGGCATATCACAACTTGTAGAAGAAGTGTCAGTGAAGTAGGGCTGGGGGCTGTTGATGGGGCAGAGAAGGTGGCATACGAGAACCCAGGAGTAGAGCAAGTACCTACAACTAGATAAGGCATTTCCTCAAAAGTGTTCATTCAACCAGATGTAAATTAAGCCCAAACCATTTATTAGACAAAGAATGGAGGCAATGCCACAATATATCCTAATGGTGAGAGCTAGGGCAGAGAATGGAACAACTGTCTGAGTCAACAACCTCAACAAGAAAAACACAACAAAACAAACTCCTTGGCAGTGGTGAAGTTGTTACTTTCACTACCTATCTCTCACAATACATATTACTACCCGGTATATATAATTATTATACATAAAAATTGTTCCTTTCCTCTTCTCTGAGTCTAAAACATCCAAGAAGGGACCACAAAACGTTAGTTAGAAGGCACCAGAATTTTCAATATTAGGAAACCTTGAGCATGGAAGGATGAACAGAGAAAAATAGCCAGACACATAAAAGGAGTTTCAATTCAAGAGAAATGAACCAAAAAATCGAATAAATATTCCTCAGTTTCATCATCAATCAAACTTTCTGCAGCAAAAGAAAAAATATTTGGGGAAAAGGAAAAGAGAATATTACACCTATGAGCCTATATTAATCAAACGCTAAGAAGCAGTCCTCTGAGATCTGAAATGACTATTTTCAGATTTAAATTTATGATGGAGGCAGTGAAACCTTTGTTAGAATCACTTAAAACCCTAATCTATTAAAGCAGATGTGGTTCACAGATAAGTCAATAACTGAGAATTAAAAATGAATATATAAAAATGAGGGAAAAGATAAGAGACATAGAAGAGATAACTTGAAACTATGGCACAAATGTAACAGCAGTTTAAGAAAAAGAAGACAGAGGAAAAAGATGAGACATAATATTCAAAATAGCTTAAGAAATCTTTTCCGGAATTCAAGACTTGTTTAAAGTTTTAGGTCAGAGGGATTCTAATTGCCACACAAAAGAAATTAAAAAAAAAAAACTTTTTTTTTTTTTTTTGAGATGGAGTCTTGCTCTGTCACCCAGGCTGAGTGCAGTGACTCACTACTACCTTCACCTCCCAAGTTCAAGCAATTCTCCTGCCTCAGCCTCCTGAGTAGTTGAGATTAAAAACATGTGTTCCCATGCCCAACTAATTTTTGTATTTACAGGGTTTTGCCATGTTGGCCAGGCTGCTCTCGATCTCTTGACCCCAAGCGACCTGCCCACCTTGACCTCCCAAAGTGCTAGGATTACAAGCATAATGACAGGCATTACCGTGCTTGACGTGGTATATACTTATAATATGTGTGACCATTAATTTTATGTGTCAAGCTGACTAGGTTAAGGGATGTCCTGATCATCGGTAAAACATTATCTCTGGGTATATCTGTCAGGGAGTTTCTGGAAAAGATTTGCATTTTAATTGGTAGTCTAGAGTAATGCAGATGGTCTTCACCACTATGGATGGGTATCATCCGAGCTATTGAAGGCCTGACTACAACAAAAAGGTGGAAGAAATTTGAATTCTCTGTCTTCTTGAGCTTGGGCATCTGTCTTCTCCTGCCCCCAGACATCAGCACTCTTGGTTCTCAGGCCTTTGTACTCAGGGATTTACACCAACAAGCCCCTCAGTTCTCAGGCCTTTGGATTTGAACTGAATTACACCACCAGCTTTCCTGCTTCTCCAGCTTACAGATGGCAGACTGTGGGACTTCTCAGTCTCCATAATTGCAGGAGCCAATTTCCATCATAAATATCCTCTTTTATATAGGTACATCCTATTAGTTCTATTTCTCTGGGGAATCCTGACTAGTTCAGTATGTTTTATTTCAAAAATAAAGGAAACAATAATCTGTAAGAATGCAGGCAGAAAATAAAAGGGTTGTCTATACAGGATAAAGCATTAGTTTTATATTAAAATTCTCCTCACAGTACAAAATGACAGAATGCAATGAAGCAATGTCATCTATGTTGATGAAAAATGGCTGTGAAATAGAAATTCATAGCAAGATGGGAAAAGAGAAACAGAAAGACATTATCAAACAAGGAAACCCCCAGAAGTTATTTTAATTAAATATACTTTCTAAAAATATATCTATAAGTCTAATTAATCTAAGAAAATAAAAGATGACACAAATACTAAACCTTACATATTATGTTAGTTTTCTAGGGCTTCTGTAGCAAAATACCACAGACTGCATGGCTTAAACGACAGAAATGCATTTTCTCACAGTTCTGCAGGGTAGATGTCTGAGACCAGGTGTGAGCAGGATAGGCATCTTTTGACATCTCTCTCCTTGGTTTGTAGGGGACCCTCTTCTCCCTGTGTTCTCCTGGTCTTCTCTATGCAATCTGTGTCCCAATCTCCTCTTATTTTCTTAAACAGCTTTATTGAGGTATAATTAATATACATAAAACTGCACATGTTTAATGTATACAGTTTGCTGAGTTTTGATATACGCGTAAGCCCATAAAACTATCACATAATCAGGTGATAAATAGATCCATCACCTCCAAAAATTTCCTTGTGTTCTTGAGTTTTACCTTTCTTTGTGTGTGGTAACAACATTTAACAGGAGAGCTACTCTCCCCCTAGGCACAGTAGTCCTATTGGGTTAGAGCACACGCTAATAACTTCATTTTACTTTAATAATCTTTTAGAGGCCCTGTCACACTGGGCATAGTGGCTCATGCCTGTAATCCTAGCACTTTAGAGGCTGAGGCAAGTGGATCAACTGAGGTCAGGAGTTTGAAATCAGCCTGGCCATCATGGTGAAATCTTTTCTCTACTAAACACAAAATATTAGCCATGTATGGTGGCACATGCCTGTAATCCCAGCTACCTGGGAGGCTCAGACAGGAGAATCTCTTGAACCCGAGAGACAGAGGTTGCAGTGAGCCAGGATTGCATCACTGCACTCCAGCCTGGACAACAAGAACAAAACTCCAGCTCAAAAAAAAAAAAAAAAAGACCCTATCTCCAAATACATTCACATTTTGAGGTTACTGGGTTAGGACTTCAACATATGAATTGGGAGGTGGCGGACCACCCAATAGTTCATAACAGACATAAACAATTATACACAGAAGAAAAGTTTTTAAAAATTGCCAGTTCAGCCATGAACAAAGTTTTAAAGAAAATATAAATGTTAAAATTTGACTCAAAAAAAATTGAAAACTTAGATTAATAATGATGCAAACTGTGTCAAGCTGTCAAATGAAACACAACGGACTTTACTGGTATTTTTCTGTGTTTAGACTTCCAAGTCACAGAAAAGGATTAAACAACAAAAACCACTTAAGATTACAAAATGAATAGGAAAGCTATAAATGCCATTCTATAAAACCAACGTAAGCCTGGTCCTAAGCCTGTCAAGAGGGCTAGAGTAGACCAAAGATTGGGCTGCCCTCCCCTCTCTAGTCATAGGCAAAGCAATTTGGAGATCCAAGCCCCAGGCCTGACCACTCAGAGACAGTGTCTTTATTGCCAAAAGAATTGGTTAGAAATGCTTAGCTGCTCCAGTCTAAGTCAGTCAGCCTCCCAGGAAGATTTTTGCTGTAATTATTTGAAAAAAAAAAGTCACTCTCTCCTGAGATCCAAGATTTTAAGGTAGGTTAAAGCCTGGAAGCAGAGGGCCAGAACCAAGACTGGCTGTGCTGTCTGTGGGGGTTAGTGCAAAATGAAAAATACTAGGAATTTCAAGATGTTCATCACTATGGGATGATTGTATCTCCCCCAAAATTTATATGTTGAAGACCTACCTCTCAGTATTCCAGAATGTGACCTTTTTTGAAAACAGGGTTATTGAAGATGTAATTAGTTAAGTTAAAAAGAGGTCATTAGATTGGGCCCTAATCCAATATGACTTTATCCTTCTAAAAGGGGGAAATTTGAACACAGAGACACAAAACACCATTTGGACATTGTATTAGTTTGTTCTTACACTGCTAATAAAGACATACCCAAGAATGGGTAATTTGAAAAGGAAAGAGGCTTAATTGACTCACAGTTCAACATGGCTGGGGAGGCCTCAGGAAACTTACAGCCATGGCAGAAGGGGAAGTAAACACGTCCTTCTTCACATGGAGGCAGCAAACAGAAGTGCTGAGCAAAAGGGGGAAAGTCCCTTATGAAACCATCAGATCTCGTGAGAACTCACAGCCAGGAGAACAGGATGGGGGAAACCCATTCAATTATCTTCACCTGATCCCTGCCACAACACATGGATTTTGGGAACTAGAGCTCAAGATGAGATTGGGTGGGAAAATAACCAAATCATATCAAACATGAAGGCAGAGATTAGGGTGATGCATCTACAAGGCATGTCAAAGCATGACACCAAACCAGCAGAAGCTGGGGGCGAGGTATGGAACACATTCTCCCTGACAGCTTCAGAAGGAACGAACCCTACCGACACCTGTGAGACCATCAATTTCTGTTGCTTAGGGCCTCCAGTTTGTGGTACTTTGTTGCAACAGTTCTAGAAAATCCTAGTAACAGCAGAGCATTAAACAAAGCCCTGTGCCCTTCTCAGCATGGGGCTCGGTGGCAGTGCACAGGTTGCACGCCCATGAGGCCATCCCTGCCTGCAGCTGTCCACACCACCGAGTCCAAGGAAATCACAGCTGAGGGGAAGCGCCACAGGAGAGTGAGAGGAAGTCTTGAAGACGGGGTTAAGCTTTAAATCTAGTGTGTCACTTCAGGTCTCTGCAAAGGAAATGCCAAGGTCTGATTGGACGTGCAAGTGAAGTAAGTCTTCAGGGAAATGTCTCTGAAGGGTAAATAAGCATGGAGGGGGCAAAACAGGAGAAGGCAGGGAGAGGCTTTAATCTTCATCGGGGCCTAGCACCCTGAAAGCAGTGAGGGAAAGGAAGAGAATTGGGTAGAAGACTCATGTTGCAGAGCAGCTTAGAGAAAGTCCTGACCAGGCTGATGAGGAGCTCTAGAGGAAAGTACTCAAAGGAACACTGCATGAGGTAGGAATCACCCAGCTCACTATACCTGCCCTGCTCAGTCATTGGCTGGGAGAGCCTAGGAGAAATCACGGCCACCACATGGACACTGTGGGAAATTCAAAAGGGTGGCCGCTGGAGGCTTTCAGTCAATGACCCTGGATCCACCAGCTGCTCTTAACGTGAGATCTGAATGATACAGCTTAATGACACATACAGCCAGCAACCACATGTCAAATGTAGCCACTTCCATACACATTTGGGAAACAGCTCCTCTTCAGTGTCTAGAACTTCTCTTCCTAAAGAGAAACACCAAAGGAAGAGGCTAGCAGGATAAACTGCAGCCCCCATCTCTGCATTTGAACTTGAGACCATACATGGTACTCATTCTCTTCCCCTTTCACTATCTATTTAAAATTTTCCTCTCCTGTGCTATCACCTCAGTAGGTCTTAATGGCTTACTTGGTGGTGTGACCCAAATCCTTATTCTCTAGGGATCTCAGCCTGGGGGTGCCAAACAAATCTGTTCTGGTTACAATGGACCAAAAAACACTAGTTGGTGCCCAAGTGAGTCACCTGGGTTCCATACACATTTCCCTATTGTGTAAAAGCCTTACCTCCTCCTCCTGGTCAGAATCAGTTACCCATGAACTAAAGACTTCCCTTCTCCCCTGCTCATCCATGCACACAAGAACTTCCCAGTGCCCTGGAGGAAGCCATAGCTTATCGTCTGCTGGACTGTATGTCCCAAATGGCAGAACTGCTTATACCACAGCTTGACCTATTATAGAGTCCTTTCTTCCTTCAAGCACCACTCACAGTCACCAGCCTTCCATGTCACCCAGCATATGAGCCGCAGAAGCAGTCCAAAGACCCAGGTACAGAATATGATGCCTCCAGGACCTGAGGTGGTTTATAAGGAGTTTTGCTACCTGCCATCTTAGTAGTAGGGAATGCAAGATATGACCATTTGGCTTTTGCTTTGGAGGTTATGTTATAGAAATCCCCTGACACCTGGATCCCTAAAATGTTTACTGAAATGACAGGTCCTTGACTTATCACTGAGTTCACCTCCCATATGTTAGAATGCATGCATCTTATGAGGGTGTCAAACACACTAACAACTTCTTGCTCGTCCTGCCACATGAACATCATGCCATCAATGTATGGTATGAATGTGACGCTCCTCAGGGCATGCAGATGTTCAAGATCTCTTCAGGTTGTATTATGACAGAGGAAGGGAGAGTCAATGTAGCTGGGAGGCAAAAGTGTAATTATTGTTATCTGTTCCTATAACTATGAACTGTTTCTGACCATCTGTTCTGATTGGAATAGAAAACAATACATTCAGCAAATCAATGGCCACATGTGCTATACTTGAGGCCTGGATACATCTACTGTAGCACTGATACCACATCTGTATAGCAGCTGCAATTAGGTCTACTTGGCTGACTTTATCTGCAGTCATTCTTTAGGGTCCATATAGTTTCTGCCAGGGCCAGACTGGTGAACGAGGTGGGATATAATGGGGGCCACCACCCTTGCATCTTTCAGGTTTTCAGTGGTAGCACTAAGCTTTACCATTCCCTTGGGCTGTAATTTCGTTTTGATTTACTCCTTTCGTGGAGGAGGGGAGGGAGCAAAAACAGCCCACACTCCTGCCACACTCAGACACTGGCTGAGAGCAGACCAGGGAGAGGGTGGTCACCGAGTGAATGAGAAGAATGCAAAATGGTGGTAGGTGAGGGTGTCTGCTAGCTACTCATTGTAGCCTGAACTCTCAGTGGGAGAACTGGCCGACGCGCCTCTACAGTCACCACTGCCAGACCTATCTACATTTATACATCGATCTCTACATCTCCATCTGTATTGAAATATGTCTATTTTATCATACTCAAGTAAGATTTATCACAAGAATTCAAAGATATTTATTCACCTTAGAAGACATTTTGGTGAAATTCACAAAATCCCAAGGCAGGGTTGGGGCATATAAGCAAATCAAAAAATGGAAACAGTTTTTTATTTTCTTTGGTGCTTTTCTGTATTTTTAAAATTTTCAACATGCAAATCTTCTGAGATTGCATAGAAAGATTCACAGTTATTTTCAAAGAGAATTAAGAAACTTAGCTGCTGGTTCTTTGCATCTAGAAATAATGCCTTCAGAACCTGCTGATAAGCATATGCTTTGGCCAGTCAGACCAATCAAGTCTCCCGGTTCTGTCCAGTTCCGTCACATGCACAATGACATGCATGCCACCGGGTTACTGTCATCTGCACTGCCTCGGTAGCATCCCACATGTAAAGGATAATATGCAACTTCTCCGCGGGCCCCAGCACGGTCTCCTTCCCTCCAAGCAACAACAGAAAGAGCCGTGATAGATAGTATCAAGAAATAGTCACCTCCTTTGAATAGTCAAGGACTCTATAACCTGGAATAATATTGCCTTCACATAGACAATAAGATTTAATTTAGTGTTGTGGAGCCCAGCAA